TTTTTAAAAAATAACATTAAACTTACATAAATAGGCTAATGGACATTGAAATTTTCTTCTTGGAGAATTTCCATGGTGAGAAAGTGTGGCTATTATGTTGCTTTCCGATTAGTTTTATAACAGGGAAAATACTCAGATCATTGTATCCAGGATTTTCTGTTAACCATAATATTTCCAAGGTCTTTAAGAATATTTAGTCTTTTTAACCATAGAGAAAGTATGTGCATAAGTCAAATCAGCCTACTTTTGCTGAAGGGAATTCGAGGCCACGAGACCTCAGAGGCCCCCCCTGAGCGGGCCGTGGACCAACAGCCAGAATGCCAGCATGCCGGCCTGGACACGGACCTCAATCTTGCACCTAAATATGGGAAGGAAGAAAAGTTCTGGAAACTCAGGAGGCATGGTATCACGCGGACAAAGGAAAGGTTTTCCTTCTGCCTTTTATGGTCTGGCTGGTGATACTGAGTCCAAAACAATTTGTTTAAATAAAAAATTCCTAAACCCCTAATTGTCAAGCAACATATTTTTCCTTCAAACCATAAGGAATGAGGTTTGACCCCCCGCCGCTGGACGGCAGAAGGGGGTGGGGGAGGGGAGTTGCGCAGGGCAGGGCTGGAGACGCCGCCAGGGCAGGACCCTCCCCCCCAGGCCACTGGACGCCTCCAAGCATTCACAGCTTCCTCAGCAGGCAGCGGCCTCCCCACTCCCACCGCTTTTTTATTTTAAATAAATTTCTTATCTTAGAATAATTTTAGATTGACAGGAAAGTTGCTGAGATTGCACAGAATTTCCATGTGCCTCTCACTCGGTTTCTCCCATCGTTAACATGTGATATCACCGCCATCCGTTTGTCAAAACTAAGAAACTGACGTCGCAACACTGCTCCGAACCAAACTCCAGCCCTTACCGTCACCCGTTTGTCCGTGAGTGACTCTTCCCGGCCTGGCTCCCCCCAGGACTGCGTCAGTCCTCACTGTCCCTGGCCTCCTCCCGTTTCTCATGACCTTGACAGTCTGGAAGAGCTCTCCTTTTTTTTTTTTTTGTGGAGACAGTGTCTCACTATGTTGCTCAGGCTGGTCTCAAACTCCTGGCCTCAAATGATCCTCCCGCCTCAGCCTCCCAAAGTACTAGGATTACAGGTGTGCGCCACCGTGCCCGGCCCTCCTTTTTCTTTTCTAACTCTTCAGTAGGGGATTATTCTACGAGGACATGCCAGGCGAGGAGCACAGGGGGGACTGGCAGGGACTAGGCTGAGAGTGTGGCCTTCCTGCTCCAGATGTGCAAGCAGACAGCTGCTGGAGGCTGCGCCTTTCCTTGCTTTGATCTTCCCTTTGAAATTGTCAAGTCAACACCAGCACTTCCATAAATTCCTTGCCTGGTTACCGCGACGCCGGCACTGCTGGACTCCACTCGGAGTGGCTTTCAGAGCGCGTTTGAGCCTCATAAGAAACTTGGTCTCATAACTTCATAGTTGGTCACATCCCTTGGAGCCAAAACACTGTCCGGTTCTGCTCCCAGATACTTTTGACTGTTAATTAAACATGCGTGTATGCACACACATGGGAATGTGTGTATATGTATGTATATACGTGTACATATTCGTTTATTTATTGTCTGTCAGAGATTCATGTGCTCTAAGGACAGTTCCAACAGCAGTGGCTACAGGCCGGGTAAGTCCTGCCCCACAGGGTTAAGGAACACATCAGAGACAGCTCTCCCAGACGGGTGCAGACTCCGTAGGAAAAGAAGGCTTGTTTAGATTTGCCCGGGGCCTAATTAGTGCCTCAGGAACCTAGAATGTCATCATTTAGCTCTGCACTCAGACGAAACTGAAATGAGTCTACACCCTGTGTTTATTTGTGTGTACCCTGCCTGCCAGGCTTTGTAGTGGAAACTCGGTTCCCTCTCCGGATTGCAGGGAAACCTGAACTGCAGAGCTGGAGTCTTGTGAGCACATTTCTGTCCTGGAAACCCAGACCCTGTTCCCTGGCTTAAAGGAAAAAAAAAAAAAAAGACTTTCTCCCCTTTCCATGGTGCCTGGATCGGGGAACCAGGCCCGTGGCTGCGGCCGCTGTCCCAGGTCCTCCATGAGCGGCCTGCACGGGGCTCACGGGGTCTGTGTCTCTGCAGAGCTGGAGAAGGAGCTGTCCCGGAGGCCCAAGAAGGTCTGCATCGTGAAGGTGGTGGGGACGCGGAACCTGTGGAAGAACATCGTGGTCCTGTGTGTGAACTCGTGAGTTGGGGGGACACATGCTGGCCGGGGTGCAGGGTGGGGAGGGCAGACAGCAGGGAGGCCACAGGGCCCCGCTCCCCCGACAGCTGGACTTGGAATCACAGCCTGGGCAGGGCCCTGGGAGAGTGACAGGCCCTGTCACAGCTTCCACACGGCGGGTCTGCAGGGGTACATGGGCTTAGAGATATCAACCCCCTCGAGGAGGCCTCAGCAGCTGGCACCCCTGGTCAGTGACCCCAGCCCAGGCCAGCTGCTGGCCACCTTGCCTATGAGCTGCACGGTACAGGAACTCTCCAAGTGCAAGGGCAGGAAGAAGGCAGGAGGCCAAGCTGGGTCGTGCAGAGACCTCCTTGGAAGGAAACCCTCTCTGCATTTCAGGAGAGCAGCTCTGAATGGTCTCGTTTACCCCAGCCCGTGTACGCCCTGTGCGCAGGGCCTCCTCACTGCATGCCTCTTAGTTAGTCCAGAGGAAGCCAAGATACACATGCATGTACCGTGTCAGGTGCACAGTGGGAGGAGACTCCAAGGTTGGAATTTGCAGGCCCTACCTCGGGAGAGGGGACTCGAGACCCACAGGCCTCGGCCGGCCCCTCAACCCAGGCTGCAGAGCAGCTGTGCCCTCTGTCTGCAGCCAGCCCTGCCCCGCTAGACCCGCAGCCCAGCCTGGCCAGAGGCCCAGCCCCAGGACAGTCTCAGGTTGTGGTGGGTCGGGCTGTGGTGCGAGACCCCGTCCTCTGAGAAGCCCCCGCCCTGCTGCTGTTCACGTTCACGCCGCCTGCCGGGCCCTGCAGGGGCCAGCACTCAGGCAGCTCAGTGTGTATCTAGAAGGCGGTTCCTGTCTCACAGCTCAATAATCCTGCCCCTCCCTGACTGTGCAAGGTGGACCAGGGTCAGAGGTCATCTAGCTGGGGGAGGGAAGGGATTTTACCCTCATTTGGGGTTAGAGGTCATGGGGATATTGCACGTGTTGGTGAAAGGGCTCAGGGACACTGCCAGGTAGAGAGAGGCTCTGGCTCAGGACCTACCCCCACGGCCGTCAAAGCAGCTCCGTTCACTCAGCTCTTCGTATCGGGGTTCCAGACTGAATTTCATCTGGGAGGATACAAAGGGTTCTACTGCCAAGGTAATAGAAGGGCCTGGATCTAATGGACACCCTCATCCTACAGATGAGAGACCCAGGCTCCCACGGCCACGCGGGGGCCTGGCCCAGGGCCCCCAGCCCTGCCTCCCCGCCCAGCGCGGTCGTGGCACGGGCAGAGCCTGGCCGGGCTGACGGCACGATGGGGAGTCGAATGGCTGCTCCAAACATGCAAACCTGACACAGGCGAGACGGCGAGTTTCCATTTTGATGGTTCCCGTTGCAGGGAGAAGGAATCAATCTCTCTGGTTTTGTTATCTTCAAATTACCTGTTGTGGTCAGAGTGCTTCATTTCTACCAGAACAAAAAGATAGAAATTGACCTGCAGCCCAGCAGGCCAGGAGGAAGAGGGGTTCATCTGGACCCTAGGAGGCCCCCGAGTGGAGTCCATGGCTGAGCCACAAACGCTGCGTAGGGGCACGGGCACTGTGCTGAGCGCCCCCAGGGGAAAGGCGCTCATCTGGCAGCCGGGCGGCTTCCTCCTGCAGGGCGGGGGTCTGCTGCAGCTGACCTTGATGTATCCTCAAGGTTGGACGAAAGCCCTTAGATTTCCCTGAAGCACGAAAGGGCACTGAGAGGGGAATTTTTAGCTCTGGCATGTGTGCCAGCAGGGACGGAACAAGCGCGCTCAGCACAGCCGGCGCGTCACACGCCGCCACGCCCGACAGGACCCTGTAGACCTGGAGATGCCCTCGGACGCGGGCACCAGCAGCCTCCCTGCACACGCTCAGCCACGTTTTTAGTCCTGTTTTCCGGAGTGGACACGTGTTTCCCAGCAGGTTTATATGCTCATGTGGGGCAGTAAAGAGGCTTGGCCCAGGGCAGTGGGAGGACGCAGGGAGAAGTTAAGAACGGAGACCAAGTTTCCTGAAGACCAAGTGGCGCCGGTGAGTGGGGCAGGTGTGGGCGGAGCACGTGGTTCCCGGGAGGGATCGCCAGCCTTCCAGAGGCCTGAGTGCCCAACCAAGAGGCAGAGGTCCAGACAGGCTGTATGTCTCCGCGGTTGCCACTTACGCGCTGAGAACCTGAGCCCCTCTACGCCTGTCTGCACAGCTGTGACAGGGCTGTGACGGTAGCCGTCACAGTGCCGCCGTGGGGTTAAGCGAGGGCACGGAGAGGGCTTCGTCTTCCGTGTTAGATTCCCAGGACAGATGAATTTGAACAAAAGGCCTCAGCACTCTTGCGCCCAGGCCTTTCTGCTGCAGCGACGGCAGACGAGTGTGAACGTGGACCCATGCGGGGCGTGCGCCTGACGTTTCTCTGACGCCTTCTCTTTTGCGTTTTACCCCGTCGTAGGTCCGTGGATGGTGACAGCATGCGTTTCTGTGGCATGCTGAGCTGCTGCTCTGTCTCCTGGCCCCGACAGCCCCCAGGAGATGGGGCGGCCCTCGAGCCGGCGCAGCCCACCCACCGCCCTCTCTGTGTCTCCACAGGCTGACGGGGTTCGGGATCCACCACTGCTTCGCCAGGAGCATGATGGGCCACGAGGTGAAGGTGCCGCTCCTGGAGAACTTCTACGCCGACTACTACACCGTGGCCAGCATCGCGCTGGCGTCCTGCCTGGCCATGTGCGTTGTGGTCAGGTTCCTGGGGCGCAGGGGAGGGCTGCTGCTCTTCATGATCCTCACCGCCCTGGCCTCGCTCCTGCAGCTCGGGCTCCTCAACCGTGAGTGGCCGGGGTGCCGGGGAGGGGAGCTGGCGAACCCCACGGGGCGTTTGAAAGGGCTGGTGAGACTCAAGCGATCATTCCAGGATCTACAGCTTCTAGAAAGGGCCTTGAGAAGGACCGGGCTTTAATTAGAGCATCTGGGCAGCCTCCCCCTTCCCTCCCCCACTCCCCCTGCCCCGCTGCGCCTGACTCCCCGGAGTCCTGGTGGGCCTGACTTTGCTGATGGGCAGACAGTTTCTCTGGGATTCATGGCATGACAAAGAAGAACAAAGGATTGTTTCTTCGTGTGACATTAAGAGGGAAATAAATCTGTTTTGACACCCTCACATTGGGGCACTGCTTTTCAGCAGATGGTCCCAAGTTCATCAGCCTCTCTTTGGACCAATGACTTTCTCAGTAAACGTTAAAAATAACCGAAGGCAAAACTAGAGAGTCCATGTAGCCCCCGGCATGCTCCATGTAGCTCCTCCCCGACAGACCCCGCCTTGTGTGTGGAAAACCACCCTGGCCCAGAGCACAACACGAGCGAGCAGGACCCCGAGCCGCCTTCTCTGCCCAGGAAGGGTCCCAGGACAATGCGGGGAAAGCGAAGCCAAGGCACCCCCCTCCCTCACAGGGAAAGTGAACCCCAGCCGTCGGCATCAGACCGATGAGTGTCCTGTTGCACCCCAGATCAGAGCAGCCTTTTCGTGCAGACTGGATTATACAACAGCTAGTTTCAAACTCAGGAACAATTTTTCCAGCTTGGGCAAAGTTCTTATGCATTCCATACCTTGCTGGGAGACTCTCAGCTGAAACTAGTAACAGAAACGATGTCTATCTCTCACCATCCCCGTTCTCCTGGTGGGCGCTGCCCAGCTGCCCTGGCGGGGTGCCTCCGCCCTGGGGTCACCAGTGCCCTCATAGGCCCTGAGCAGGAGCACCACAGATCCCTGGCACACGGCAGGTGGCTGCGAGGAGCAGGGCCGGGGTGAGCAGAGACGCCCCCTGGTGGGTCCACCCTGCAGTGCTCCTTGAGCACAGGCCAGCGGTGACCCTCGAATAGCTTTATGCTCGAGGAAATCTGTGCCCTTTGGATCTGCTGGGGTCTCTGTTCTGAAGGGTTCCATTTTCTCCCCAGGCTCTGAGGCCGGAAGGGTTTTGGGCCTCCCTTCCTAACAAAAAGATCTTTGTTTAGTCCAGTGTGAATTCCACTGCCCAGGCGGCTGGCACCCACCCAGACAGGGAAGGGAGTTTGCTTAGAAACAAGTCACGTGGGAACAGCCTGTGATAACTCCATACCTAACGTGCTCTCTCCCCTCTTCCCGCCTTCTCTCCCCGTGCCGTGCACCATTTCCACGGGCCCAGTGATCGGGAAGTACAGCCAGCACCCAGACTCAGGTGGGTCCCACGCGGCCTGCGCGTCCCAGCGCGTACTGCATCCCAGCGGGCATCCTCACAAAGACTCACAGACTTGTGGTTTCCTTCTCCTCTCTTTCTCCTCCCCTCCTTGCCCTCCCAGAATTGCAGCTGAAGTTGGCCGTAGGTTGGACACTATAAGGATACGTTTGTATTCCCTGACTCCCTCTTGCCTCTAGAAAGAGCGCCTGGTGTTTCCCGCTCTGCGCGGCCTGGCTCGCATGCCTTCGCCCCTTTCCCTGGCACCAGGGGTCAGCGCAGGCCCTGGCCCAGCGCCGACGCGGTGTGTCTCACGGCCGGTCTTTGGCGCGATCAGAAAGCCGGGGCATGCTGGGCTTGGCTGTCTGGCTGCCAGGGAAGCCGCTGACCCACTGTGACTCTCGCCAGCTTGCTGCTCTCCGACCACAGGGGACAGCAGAGCCGCTGCCCTGCCCCTCGATACCTCCGTGCTGCTGTGACACCTGCCTGGCCTGCCCCAAGCCCGTGCCCCCACGCCCCTGGGGGAGCTGAGCTGCACCCCGGCTGAATGGCCCAACGGCATGCCTTTGCACTACGCCAGACGCCGCCTTCTCGCGAGGTGGGACCCTGGTGCCGTTTACAAGGCGCTGGATGGTGGAGCCCTTTCCCTCCAGGCCCCTAAATTCTTCTGTTTGGGCTTTTGAGATTTTGTTCCTTAAATCAACACAGACTCAGATACCCTGTCCCACGTGCTGGACTGTCCAACCTGAGGCTGAAACAGCCCGGCTCTCTGGAGCAAACACGGAGGCCAGGCGGAGGGGACGTGCTGTGGCCCCGGGGGACGCCAGCCCGCCTTCCTGCCCGGCATGGCTGCGGCCGAGGAGCTGACAGAGGCTGCTGTGAGCTCGGGCATGCGAGACACACGGGCCTGGCAGGGGCCCAGCAAAGCCTTGTGCCGCGGGCTGTGGGCTCCCAGGCCTGCGGGTGCTGCCAGTCCCCCCAGGGAACGGCACACCCAAACTCGCTGCACACCAGGCCGCAGGGAGGAGGGAGCCCCTGGGCTCCGTGTAGCCCCAGGCCCCCCTCCTTCCTCGCTCCTCCTCCGCTCCCGCTCACTGCCCCCGTCTTCCGATTCTCCCTCAGGGATGAGTGACAGTGTCAAGGACAAATTCTCCATCGCGTTTTCCGTCGTGGGCATGTTCGCCTCCCACGCGGTGGGGAGCCTCAGCGTGTTCTTCTGTGCGGAGATCACCCCCACGGTGATAAGGTGAGTGATGGGAGGCTCCCAAGGGGCGTTTCTCTCAGACTCGGAGATGAGCCTCTGGCTGCAGCTCTGCCCGCCCTGGCTCCTGGACCAGGTGCGCGGCGTGCCGGGCCGTCGGGTTCGTGACCCACAGCCACGACGGCTGCTTCGCCCTGACCCCAAGGCACTTGCGAGTTAGGTGAGAACTTGACCCTGGGGTCCCCCGTCCCGGCAGCAGCAGGAGGAATGGGGAGCAGGGAGCTTTTCAGAGTCCAGGGAACGTGGCAGCGACAGGAAAGCGAGAGGGTTAGGCGGGTCACTCAGGCCCTACTTTGGCCAAACTCTGTGCCGCCAGCTCCTCTAGGAGACTTCGTAGCACAGCCGTTCAAAACCAAAAAGGAAGTAGAAAGAGCCTTATATTTTACTGGCCTGAGAAGCTGATGTCGCTCATCCAAAGGAGGCCTCACAGAGGGAAAGCCCAGCCAGCTCGATCGCCCACATGTGTGAGAGATATTTCCTGGGAGCCCGCCGTGTGCTGGGCGAGGGCCAGGAAGGCGGGACAGCGCCGCCCAGCCCGCGTCAGTTTGTCGCGATTTCCTACTTCCCTGGAGGCTGTGCGTGACGGTGCTTAGCAGCTTTTGTTTTAGTTTGTGACGTGAGGCTTATTCCTCCCCGGTGCTGTCGCTGGGTCGGGGTTCAGGGATGCTGCACCCCGTTTACCGTTCTTGCGATCGTAGCGTAATAAAGGACGTGCCTCTGTGTGAGGGTGTCACTCGACTGCAGGCAGGCCATTTTCCTAATATTTGTGACGTACTGAAGAGCTTATCTTGATGTATATCCCACACTGAACTTTTCATAGGAATGTCATTAGCATTTCTAATGCGTATGCTTTTGTGAAATATAAATTGTGAGTGTGGCAGTCACTCAGCCGTGAGGCTAAACCCAGCAGTCAGCACGGTGACCCCTTCAGAGAGACGAGCAGAGGCCATTCCGGCCGAGGCGGATGTGCAAAGGCTAATGTTTTAGTCCCTGTGGTGCCGGGGAGGACTGGGGGGCGGGCAGCTCACGGACTTCCGTCCTTCCACGCTTCCAGCGCTCAAGCTCACAGCAGCATCTTCGCACGTCCTCACTTTGATTCATTCTACTGCGTTTTTACAATACGAGCCAAGCCTGGCGGCTACTGGGTTCCTGTAAGAAAATGCCAAGGTATTGTGAGTTTAAGAAAAAAAAGCAATTAAGTGCCCAGTAATTCGTCCTGTTTCTACCTTCTGCCTAAGCCACAGTGAAGAGATGAGTCCAGAGTTTATTTCGTCGTCCTTGCGGTTGAAAGATAGCTCAGGCAGACAGCAGCTCACTGTGTCTTTCCTTCCCGTCGTTAAATTTCCTTCCTTTATACGAGAATACAGCAAAAATGACTCTTTTCGATGGAGTAGAAGTCACAGTCAGACCTCCTGCGTTTCCCGCTGGCGTCTCCACGGCCTCTGCATGATTATGTATATTTCAGGGCAGGGGACACCCCGTGACTTGGGCACTCTGGCAGTAGCAGGCCTCATTATTCGTTGTTAGATTTTGCTTAGCAAGCTAGACTGAAGGAAATGTGTTGTCCTTTCCTCTTTGATGCAAACCTGGAAAGATTTGGGGATAGAAATTCAACAAATACGTTCTCAGATTCAGCTTGCCAAGATGACAAACTAGAAAAATATTTGACCCTTGGTGATGTTTTTGTACCTGCAGAGGATGAAAGGAAACTGAGTCCAACGGGGCCCCCAGCCAGGCTGGAAGAAGGTCTAGTGTCCTGACGAATCCCTCTTCCTGCCGTGAGCCCTCCTCACCCGCGCCAGGAGGCCGTGGCTCTTCCTTGCAAACACGCTCAGGGACAATTCCCGTGGAGTCCCCGGTGGAAATGGGCTTTCCTACCATCCCCCCAAGCTAAGCCAGATGTGAGCTTCATCTTGCTTAATGCAAAACTAGCCTTTTTCTGCAATGTTGCATTAAAAACAATTCTTCTGAATAAGAACAGTAGCAAAGATTAAGATGCCAGGATTGATTGGTAACAAATGAGAACTTTTCTGCACAAAAGCTTGTGGAAATCCATTGTCCCAGGGGTGGCAGAGACGAAGCGGAGTAAACTAAATATCGTCTCGTGAGATTCTGCCCAGGCTTCATGGTGCAGAGAGCCGCTGCCTCCCAGCCGGGCACGGCCCAGGTGGCATCTTCATTAGCCAATGCACAGCTGCCGCTTAGCTCCTCTGCTAGCACTTCAGGAGCTGGGTGGCTTTGCCTGTGTCTGACAGCACCCATCTCTGCCCTTGGCGTGGGCAGAAGTGGCCTGGGGCTGGGTGGATCTAGAAGAAGCTGGGCCTTTTCTGTGGCAGATCACGTCTTCTGCCCACTGTCCACCCAGCTGCAGGCGGGAGCCCCTGAGGCCTGCACTGGTTTCCTGTCCCCTCTGGAAGGGGTCAGGTGAGGGAGGAAGCAGGTGCTGGAACTGGTGTCACTGTCTGACGTAATGCCTCCTGGGGCCCCCAGACCCTGGGACTCAGCTGCACAGTCCCCATGCTCTGCCGGTGGCCCAGCCCTTCCTAGGTCACAGTCGGCCTGGCCTCCCTGAACCGCGTCCTGATGTGTGTCCTCCGCTCTAATGTTGCCGCAAGAGCAGGCACCCCGAGGCCCAAGATGAATTGTTTAATGTGGCATTTCCAGCCTGTTTAACTTCTTTAAAAATGTATATCTTTAAAAAAAAAAATATCCAACATTTGACAACAGTGAGAGACCAGACGAGAAGCTGGTATGTGTTCCATGCAGCCGCGCCTGCGGCACCGCTGCACCGAGGAACCGTGCGGCATGGGGGACGGCCCAGGGCAGAACAAGTGGCCAAGAGCCTGGGGCTTGGGGCCTTGGCGCCAGGGGGGCAGGAGCCAGCCGGAGCAGCCCGTGACCCCGGGGCCGCCTCCCTGGTGACCTTGGGCAGGTCATTGGGCAGCTTTAGTTTCCTTGCCTTAAAATAGACCAGTCGCACCTGCCGTGTTCCCTGGTGGTGAACAGAGACCGAGGGAGAGGGAGCGTGTCAGGGGCCCGGCCTCCGTAGACGACAGTGGATATTGTTACTCCTACCTGGATATTTTCGGCAGTCCCATTTATTTCTGTAAAAAATTGGTACAAATATTTGTTCACCTTTGACTTCACGAACATGTAGTAAGGACAAATTAAGTAATATAAAAAGGGAAATGAAAAATGAGAGGTTCGTTTCCTGTGTTTAAGTGCAAGATGGTGACGTTCACACGTTTAACAAGAATGTGAAGGTTCTGGAATTCTTAATTCAAGCTTGCTACTTCCAATAGTCTGCCTGTACATCAGTCTCCCATCTTTATTTAGATCTTATTACTAGTAAAATAAAGATACCCAGTGGGTATTAAAGTTTCCGTGCTCCTAAAGCCCGTGGAAGCAGAACTTCCGACCCTCCTTTATCTGTGAACAGAGGGTCCCTGACTCGCCAACGTGGGCACGTGCTGCCCTCTCGTGGCAATCTAGAGAATAGCAGAAAATGCACCAAGTCTGCATTGGGGGTAAAGAAACGAACTGTATAAAGACACATGCCATACTGTATATGCATGTGTACATATATTGCATATTACACACACACATATGTAGGTATTTTTCTAATGAGTGAAATTATCATTTCACTTGACATGACTAACGCGATAGATCAATGTGACGTAGTTCACCTGGCACCACGGGAGCGACTTTTGCCCTTCGGCAGCGTCTGCGCCCTCCCCGAGGCCTGCGTCTGCCGTCCTGGACGGCGGCCCCCACGTGAGCGAGGGGGTCCCTCTCGCTGCTTGTCACTGCCATCCACACTCGGTGCCGGGGAGGCCAGGGGGAAACCAGGAGGTTTCGGGGGAAATGACGTCTTACTGGTACCGAAGGCCCCAGCCAAACGCGCCCATTATTCCTGGCATCTGATCCTCGCTCGCAACAGCCTGTGGCTTCCTGAAGGGGCCAAATATATCAGAGAGACCGAATGGCTATTTTGGGTGTTCGCATTATTCATCTTACAGATGGATCCGCTCTCACTGCTCTGTGTAGTGGTCATCTATATTTAACCTGTCCTACGCGCTTGGGCGAGCTGACCTTCCTACCTAGGAAGCCAGCGTGAGCCGCAAGCATCCAATGTTCGTTAAGCACAGATAACACGTGCCTGTTGACGTTCTGGAAACTAATTCTTGCCCTAGAAGGGCTCATAGACTAGTAAGGACGACAGGCATGAGAAAACACTGACAGAAAGATGCGGAGTGTCTTTGAAAGGTGGTGGGGACTCTGCCTGGGAAGGAGTGGTCATCTGGGGACAGCTGCAGAATCATCTCTCTTCCTCACCTGCCTGCCCTGAGGGCCCGGCGGCCTGACTGAGATAGTCCCCGCCTCCCTTGGTCAAGGACTTTGTGATACAAAGTGCCCATGACTGCCGCAGCCTGGGGGAGAGGTGGCTGCTGTTTTCCTCCATGGCTGGGGAGCTCTGTCACTCGCTGGGTGTGCGAGTTGTCTGTTGCTCCATAACAAATCACCCTGAAACCTGGTGGCTGAAAGCAGCGCACATTCCTTATCTCACAGCTCTGTGGGTCGGGGGTCTGGGCACAGCTCACCAGGTCCCCTGCTCGGGGTCTCTCACAGGCTGCCATCCACTGGGACAGGACCCTCCACCAAGCTCAGACAGTGATTGGCAGGACCCAGTTCCTCGCAGGCTGTTGGACCGAGGGTCTCAGTTCCTTGCTGGCCGTAGGCCGGGGCCACCTCTGTTCCCTGCCACATAGACCTCATCAACATAGCAGCCTGCTTCATCAAAGCCAGCACTAGTCTGCTAGAAGTCACAGTCTTTTGTAACCTGATCGTGGAAGGGACATCTCATTACCGTGGCTGTATTTTACTGGTGAGAAGGAAGTTACTTGTACCCTGAGGTCCAGCCCACACCCAAGGCACGAGGGCGTGAGTACCGGGAGGTGGGCATCACTCAGCCATCCTAGAAATCTGCCTGCAACGCCCCGTACGTGCGCAGGTGGTCTCAGGCAGTGGCTGCGCTGGTGCTAGGGAGAGCAGCCTGAGTAGAACTTGGTCCTGGCCTGGAAAACCTCTGGAGTCTATTAGAGACACACAGACATGCAACGCGAGAGTGTCTTCAGGCTCTCCCACAGTGTCCTGGGGATAGGGCGGGAGCACCCATCCCACAGTGTCCTGGGGATAGGGCGGGAGCACCCAGGAGGGAGGGAAGGAGGGCTCAGCTGGCTGGGATCTGCGGCTTGCTCAGCCTGGACTCTGAACCCTGACTCAGACCGGGGACTCGCAGGGAGTGGCCCAGAGCCACACACAGCCGCCCTGGAGGGACAAGTGTGCACCGAGAGGGAGCGAGGACCCAGAGAGTGAGAGGGTGAGGAAGCACCGTCTGCAGGGCTCAGCGAGTCCCAGGGGTTGGCCGGGGAGGCGGACAAGGGCTGCAGTGGCCGCAGCACCCTCTGCCAACCTGTGGGCCCCCGTGCCATGCCTGGAGGCGCTGGGCCCATGGGAGAGGCTCATCCGCCTCACCTCCCAGTTCTTGAGCTTCAGCTCGGGTTCCCCCCACACCTGACCGCCCCCCCAGCCCCTGCTGTCTGCCCACCCCCGGCACTCAGTGGACATCACCACCCCTGGGATCAGTCCACGGATCTCCCACCCCCATGTTATCAATAGCTGTGTTAGACTTTAACCTTCACAGCGCTTGGAGGTCAGGGCTTTTGTCATCCCCACCTCACAGACGCAGACGGAGGCTTCAGGAGGTGAAGCTGGTCGGTGGTGGAGCCGCATTTCCAGCTGCCTCCGGAACTTGTGCTCCTGGCCATTGCGCGCCCCTGCCTGTGTAGCAGACGTCTGTCTGCAGCTCGCTTTGGGCTGGTCCCGTGTGTCTGGGTTTGCTCGAGGCTGGGAGGCCTGTAGCAAACCAGCCCTGTCTGAACAATCATCACATCAAAGAAACGTCCATCAAGCCCCTGTGCCAGGGATCCCGTCTGGCATGGGGACCCCAAGATGAGCACGTATCTCCCTCCAGAAACACGTGAGGCAGCTCCCCAGCCTGCAGCCCGGCGGGAGTGTGGCTGAGGGACCCCGAGGCTAGGAGTAGCAGGAAGGGAAGATGCGGTCTCGGGACCTGCAGGCCACTGAAGGGCTCTGGGCAAGCAAGTGGCACGGTTAGTTCTGTGTCCTAGGAAACCACTTTGGCAGTAGTGGACACAGTCTAAGGGGGTGGGACGTGCACCAGTTAGGAGAGGAGAACTGAGGCAGCGGGATAGGAAGGGCCTGAGGAAGGGAGGAGTCCAGCGACCGCCAGGCTCTGACAGTGTCCCGCAGGCCGTGTGCCCGGTGGGGCTGCCCTGTGCACACCCAGCCCTGGGCCGAGAGGCAGGGAAGCCCCTCCTGGGCCTGGTGCAGCCACGGACGGCTGAATGCAGTCTACAACGATGGGGGGCCGCTTCTGAGGGGAGGGAGAAGTGTCTTCTATTTTTTTGTTATGAAACATGACCAAGCAGGGGTGGGAGACCACCTGTTGTCCCCTCCACACGCACCGTTATCATTGTTACATTCCATTCCGTGAGAAAAAGGTTTCCGAATCTGTAATTCTTCCTGTGGTTCCCACAGACGGAATGTCCAGTTGAAGATGGCCACCTGGGGGCCCCAGGACGCCTGTCCCCCGTCCTCCCTTCCCGGGTTACCCCTGCCTGGGTCCCCCTCATTCAAGTCCCCCGCAACCCAGGACTGGTGTGAGAGGGTCTGTGGGGGCAGGGCGGCAGGTCTCGGGGGCAGGGACTCTCTCACCCGCTGCTGATAGTCAAGCCCTGAGGAGCCCCCGGCCCACAGTGGGCAGAGCAGAGCAGAGACCCTGGAGCGGCCACGGGTGGCAGTGGAAGGGGAGCCACGCCTGTCCCGGGGTTTGGAAAGAAAAGGCAGGGCCTGGGTGGCTGCCCAGACTGGAAGCTGTGCAGACCTGTGCCCGCAGAAAGCCCAGCCCCCTTCCCACGGTGGGAAGCTTCAGGGTTTTCTATAACTGATTTGTTGAGACGTAATTTACGTACCCCACAAAATTCATCCATTTCAAGCAAACAATTCAATGACTTTTCGCAAATGTGTAAAGCTGTGCAAACACTGCTACAATCCAGCCATAGGACATTTCCATCACCCCAAAAACCCCCTCGTCCCCCTTTGCAGTGGGTCTCTTGTCCCTGCTCCCAGCCCCGGGCAACCGCAAATCTGCTTCCTGTCTCGGTGGGTTTGCCTTTTTGACATTTTTTGTGAATGTAAACACACAATCACGTAGCGTCAGGGTTTGAAATCCATCTGTGTTGGAGCGTGCATGAACTCGTTTCTTTTTATAGATGAGCAATATTCCATTACATATGACATACATTTGATTGTTTCCAAGTCATAATGCTGCAACCAATATTGGCTTGTAAGGTTTGGTACGGACGTATTTCTCACTTGTTTCATAGGAGTAGAATTGCTGGGTTGTACAAAAGTTTATGTTTAACTTTTGAAGACACTGCCAACCAGTTTTTCAAAGTGGCTGCACTGTTTATGCTCCTGCCTACGATTTTCTATCTGAGTCGTCATCCCAGCAGGCATGAAGTGCTGTCTCACTGCGCGTTGATGTCATGTCTCCGATGACTAAGCATGTTGCACATCTTCTCTCCTCTTGCTGGACATTTGTAGTTTATGTAGTTTCTTTAGAGAACTGTTTGTCAAATATTTTGCCCATTTTTAATTGGATTATCTGTCTTCTTTTTGAATTGTAAGACTGTTTTATATATTGTGGATTTAAGTCTTTATCAGATATATGCTTCACAAAAATTTTCTCCTGGTTTATGACTTTTCTTTTTCTTTTCTTAAGTACATGTCTTTAAGGGTAGAAGTTTTTAATTCCGATGAAGTCCAACTGATCAGATTTTTCTCCTACGGACCCTGCTTTTGAGGTCATATGTAAAAAATCTTTACCTAACCCGAGGTCACAGATTTTCTCTAATGTTTTCTTCCTGTAGTGTTATAATTTTAGCTCTTACATTTAGGTCCTGTGATCTATGTTGAGTTCATTTTTGTACATGATGTGAAGAGTCCAACCTCATTCTTTCACAAGTGAATATCCTATCGTCCCAGGACCACTTGTTGAAAAGACTATAACATTCCCTGCCATTGAATTTGCCTTTGTCAAAAATCAATTGACCATAAACGTGAAGGTTTGTTTCTAAACTCTGTTCTGTTCCATTGATCTGTTGATACACCAGTACCACACTGGCTTTAAGTAAGTTTTGGCTCTACAGTAAGTTTTGAAACTGGAAAGACAGCCTTCCAGTTTTGTTCTTTCTCAAAATTGTTTTTGGCTATTCTGGGTCCTTTGCATTTCCATATAAATTTTATGATCAGCTTATCACTTTCTCAAAAAAAAAGAAGAAGAAAATGAGCTCCAATTCTGATTGAATCTATAGATGAATCTGGGAAGAACTGCCATCTTCACAACATTGAGTCTTCCGATTTCTGAACATGGAACATCTCTCCGTTTAGTTTTATCTTTGTAAGTTTCTCTCAGCAATGTTCTGTAGTTTTCAGCATACAGGTCTTGCATCTCTTGTTATTTATTTCTAAGCATTTTATTCTTTTGATGTTACTGTGAGTAGAATTTTCTTAATTTCATTTTTGGGTGGTTGCTAGCATGTAGACATACGTTGACTTTTGTATGTTGATCTTGCATCTTGTGACCTTGTAGGACAGTCTTTTGGTGAGTTAGAAGCCACCTACGGTGCCAGCCAAGAGAACTGTAGACTAGTCAGGAGTAGAGTTACATGCCTGCCTCCTACGTGCTGCAGGGACCTGCCTTCAGCCCCTCTCTGCCTCAGCACGTCCAAGGACAAAGGTCTCCTCACTTAAGGGTGGTACCTAACTCGAGCCAGCTCCGTTAGAAGATTCTTCCTTACACCAACTGAAGTTGACATCCCTGTCCACTCTGCTGGCTGCTCGGGGACTGGGCAAACCACTCCACCCTCCCTTCCTCTAGACAAGACCACCTCCACCTGTCCCCTTCAGTGAGGCCCTAGAACTGGGGACCAGGCAGCCCTCCCTGGCCTGGCCCATAACCCAAGCACACGGTCCCACTACAGCCTGGCACAGCACTGTTTTCTCGGTGGCCACAGAACACCTTAGCCCCAGGAGTGTGTTTTAGGTCAAAGTAGAGCGGTCAGTGCTGTAAGATATTTCTAAAGCGTTGCGTGTCTGCTAAGCCCTGTGGGGCCCTTGGACGGTGCCCTCACGGGGCAGAGGAGTGGAGACAAACGGCTCATGCTCTGGGCTTGGTGCTCCCTGAGCTCGGTGCCGCAGTGGGTTCCTCTCCGGTGGACAGCCTCATTTTAGGGACCCTTCTGGCACAATCCCTGGAGGTGGGACAGTGTCCGCTGGTGGTATGCAGAACAATTTTAGGAAATACATGAGACATCAACTCACAGTGAGGAAATTATTGTGCTTTAGCATCTATATTCCAGTTTCTCCAGTTACGACAAGGAGAAAGTCTCTGTCAGTGCTGCTGTGCCTTTAACACCCTTCCAGGGTGGCAGCCTGCAGCCTTAAGGTGAAATGTGGCCCTCTAGGTCTTAAAGTGCGGCCTCTTGATTGACTGCAAAATTTGCAGAACAAATCCTTTTATTAAAAGGGGTGTAGCAGAGACAGATGAAGCTTTTCTTGCCTCCTTCGGTGCTCAGTTTGGGACGTCGAGATGGGGCGTGCGCCGGGGCCCTGCAGAGGTGGGGCTTCCCCAGTCCCACATGAACTTGCCCAGTCCTCCCGGCTGGCACTCTGCACGCCAGGTGGACTCAGGCGCTGACCCTGTGCGTGTGCCTCCTCCCGCAGGTGCGGCGGGCTGGGGCTGGTGCTGGCCAGCGCGGGCTTCGGCATGCTGACGGCGCCCATCATCGAGCTGCACAACCAGAAAGGCTACTTCCTGCACCACATCATCTTCGCCTGCTGCACGCTCATCTGCATCATCTGCATCCTCCTGCTGCCCGAGAGCAGGGACCAGAACCTGCCCGAGAACATCTCCAACGGGGAGCACTACACGCGGCAGCCGCTGCTGCCTCACAAGAAGGGCGAGCAGCCGCTGCTGCTCACCAACGCCGAGCTCAAGGACTACTCGGGCCTCCACGACGCGGCCGCTGCGGGCGACGGGCTGCCCGAGGGCGCCACGGCCAACGGCATGAAGGCCATGTAGCTGGTGGCGCCCTCCCGCAGGAGCCCCCCGGGGCTCAACGGTTTGGGGCGGTTTGGGCACGGGTTTACAGACCAGGGACCGAACGGTGGCCGGGTGGGAAAGTCCAGCTCTGCAGCCACCGCCAGCCAATCGCGAGACTTTCAGCTGGTGTGGGGAAACTCTGTCTTTCCAAAAGTCCAAGAAAGCACGGGTTTGAGGAGACACACTCTGTGGAAATAATCCTTCAATGACTTTCTTTTCTGCCATTAAATATTTGTATTTATTTTGGTCATTTTTACAAGAAGCACTTTATGCCTCTCCCTCTCGCCGATCACGATGGAACCACCTCCTTCGGAAGCAAGAGGCAGTCGCTCCAGGGGACATGCTGGGAGTGGCCACCGCAGTGGCCGGTCTCCTCCCTGGAAGTGGGACGCGGCTCCTTGCCCGCCACCCGGGAGCCAGACGTCACCTCGGCCGCCTGAGCCCGCCCAGGCTGCCCGCCTGTGCGCAGAGACAGGGCGCTATCGGGCAGCGTCTCTGGGACTGCATTTTAGACAGAGCAAAATGTAAATGAACTAGGTTTCTCGAGAGTCTGTGTACGGTTTTTTAAAGTCTTTTTTTCTTTCTGTTTGTACAGTAAGAGCTTCCGTTCTGTGTCGAGGGAAAGCAGCTCACAGGTATCATTAAAACCAGCTTAGTTTTTCTCCTGGATCATCCTTTCGCACCTGATGCTGGAAGCTCTTGGGAAAAAGCTGAAACATCTCGCCAGGATCTTAAATGATCAGTGGCAGCATCGCCACAGCTTTCTGACACCAGGTTTGCTTCGTTAAATACACAACTAGCACCTGTGCTGAGGTCCGAGACGTTCGTTTTCCTTAATACTCTTTCCCAGATTTTGGCTCCAGCAGCGAAGTCCCCTCTTTCACGGTCAGCTTTTTCGCCAGCACTACTTGAAAATGTGGCTACTTTCCCAACAACAGCAACAGGAAAATAACTCACGGCGATGACTGAGGCCAGTCCACAGGAGGGAGGGCTGCTCTCCCAAACACGGCCCGTCACCCACATTTTGAGCACACACCACGGAGATCACCAGCTTGGACGGCTGTCGCTCTCACCGACGTCACGCCAGGGGGCACCTGCGGGCGCTGGTCCCCCACGCCTTCCTCAGTCTGCTCCCTGCTTCCTGTCACTCGCTCAGCACAGAGCTGGGGCTTGGGGCAAGGAGTGGGGATTCCTCACAGGGGAGTCCACGTGACCTCCAGCCTCTTGAAAGCATCACGGCAAACCGAGAGAAAGCAATAACTCACCAAAGTTCAACTCTCCCCTTGGCCCACTCTCCAAGGGTTTTCATGGTGTTCCTCATTTTGCCCCAGACAGTGAAGGTTTCCTCTTGGTGTTTTCAGAGGAAACTTGTAGGACACTCAGGGCCACTAAGAAACAAGCCTCCTTGGTGCGGCAGGCACCCCTCTGCAGCCCCTCAGGCAGCAGCTTTCCTGGACAACCGGCCTCTTACTAGAATCGTCCACCTCGCCCCTTTCTGAAGAGCATCTTTGCTGCAGGTTGTATCCTTCCAGGGAAACCGCCGTCTCAGGCTTGGGTGAGGCAATTACATGAAAGTTGCTAGAATTCAAAGGGCCAGAAAAGGGGTTGACCTTCTCCCCTTGCAGCGTCCCACCTGGTCTGCTGCTTGCTGTCTCCGCCTGTCTCTCCTCCACGTCTGGTCCACACGTCGGTAGGAGCCCACTGACTCATAAAGACACGGTAAGGGGCAAACGCACCCACAGCCAGGTGTTTCCAACAGCTGAACCACGCTGTCTCGCCCACCAACACCTGGGGTATCAGAGCCCTGCGCAGAGCCCAGTGCCCGCGAAGGGATGCTCTCTGGCCGGCCTCTCCCCAGCTCCACCTGATCCAGTTCCAGCTCATCCTCACCTTCCTGGTCTCTTTTTTTAAGTCACTTTTGTTCCGTGTTTCAATGCTAGTTTGCATTCACCTTTGCAAGGCCTTTTAGATCCACGCAGCCTTCCTGTGCGAAACTTGTGAGATACCTTTTCTGGAGTACTTGCTACAAAGCCACTTGGCAGCAAACCCATTAAGTACAGGATAGAACAAATCCAGCAGCCAGGCCAGTTGGCAGCTGGGGAAGGTGGGAAGGAACCAGCGAGGCCCCTGAGCCTGCACCTGGACAGGTGCCCGTCTGCACCCATCCCCCTAGCACGAGGCCACCCTGCAACCCACTTACTGTACTGCAGGACTTGTTAAGTAAGGCAAGTTGTGAACAGTGTCAACACTGGTCACGCAGACCTTTATGAAGCAATGCATCGAAGCTGTAGAGTGCTGCCAGGAATCCTAGGAAGGTGCAGGCAAGGTATAGCACTCACAGACTTCTGGTCCACGGTCTCTGATCTCCACCTTGAATGACAACAATAAAACACTGCTCATCACATCAGCAATCGGGACTAAGAAGCTAGCTTTGAGGCCCAGGCTCTTGGGAGCAAAGTCTAGCAGATGTGAGGCCGACTTGCCAACAGCTGGCAGGCGCTATCTCCTGGCTGGCAAGCAGGTCCCACCGCTCTCCTCTCAGGGCAGCCTGCTCCTGTTCTGTTGCCGCCTCGGCTTAGGGATACCTGAAGCTCTTGAGGAACACCTTTATGAGATGGAGCCAAAGCAGACAATGTGGGCAGAGCCCCATGAAATCCAGCACCAAGGGAGCAAGGCACACCCAGGCCTGACACATCCGGGCCACCTGGCTCCTGGCGGGGGGAGGCTGCTGTGGCCACCAGCTCCCTGGCACCAGTCTGTTGAGCTTGAGCCCCTCGGTCCCGCCTCCTTCGCGGTCAGTAGGGAGATACTTCTCAGGCTCCTGCTGCCTCAGCTCAGCCCTTCCACCCCCAGGGAAACACAGAAAGCTGTGCACTCCCTGCTACTCCCCTCCACCCACCCCTGCATCCTGCTAGCCTGTCAGGGAGCTGTGGCTTCTCAATAAAAGTGATGCACAAATGTGAACACCTGAGACAGAGCTGGATATTTGTTCATTTTATTCTTTTCCAGAAATCAGTTACTCTTACAAAGTACCTTAATTATTAGCACCCAAGACAATTAGGGAAAAGTTTTAAATGTTTTTGTCTTCTAAGAGTAAAATCACCTGCAACTGGAGAACGGGCTGGGAAGCTCGTTTGGCCACACGCGAGGGAAGCATTGCACTTAAGTCGCTACGGCTTCCCGGGCCAAACGGAAGTGCTGAACTGCAAGTGCCATAAGTGTGACATCACATCACCCAGCCCCTGGGCAGCACGCGTGCTGGGCCACACTCGACTCTGTCTTCTTATCTTAGAAAGACACCACCTCACTTTAATGTATTGTGTGTGTTTCGGAAAAGCAGTATGGTGTGTTCTGTCTAGCGGGGAGTTCTTCCCTCCCTCTGTCCTTTCTGCAGCCCAACCGTTTGAGGTTGTGCTAGAAGAACCGTGTTACTGTACATGTCGCTGGGACTCCTGACGGTGCTCCTTCATAGCACAAGCTGACGCTGAGTTCTGAGCTGTCGTCCACAGCTGCGTGTCTGCATGGTGTCGCATCTGTTGTACCTTTGGGGAAAATTTGTATGTAAATGTACAGAAATAAAAATGTTGCCCCATTAACAGATTTCCTCTGGAATGTCTTCCCTACCTCACCTGATGGTATCCAACGAAGGGCATCTCACTACCGTGATGACGAGTAATAAAATCCTCCGTGTTTATTCAGACCTTGCCGCGTCACTGCTTGGCGCTGCCTCTGTAAGCCAAGTCTTCGACTGCCCCGAGGGGCGGTGGGCGGCCTCTCACTCTGCTTTGAGAGTCCGAGTCTTAAAAGGTAGTCAGAGACTGGATTAAGCATAAACTGTTTATCTAATGCCATTCTCAGACCACCTGAAAGATGGGGGAGGGTCATCAGTAAATTTAAGAGGCGTTTTTTTCTCCCGTTCACTTATGTTCTGCTGACCCGTGGCCTGTTGGTTCCTAGAGAGCTCAAGAAATGAGTCTCTTACACTGTGACTGTGAGGAAAGACTGACTACCCAAAACTCTCTTCTCTAATGTAGTGTTTTTTAACCGAAAGACGTTATTTCTTTAATAAAGGATTTATACCAAACTCTTCTCTCCATAGCCCTGATTTTGTGTCACTTACTATTCTCTTCCTAGAAAGGTGTCCTCTGCTTTGTAAGCTGCCATCGTGCAGGCGGGTCCTCCTTTGCGGGACGTCTGCAAGGGAAGGAAGCGCCTGGGACCCAGACGTACCCCTCTGAAGGTCCCTGCGTCTAGCCAGCATCACCACCGTCAGTGCCACCCCTGCCTCCACACAAGACATCTGCCACTGCAGGGAACATGTTTCAGGGCCCTAAACTGTCTGCCTCCAGCAACTAAAGTGTTCAGATGGACCCCAGAGATTAGAAAGTTCTTTGCCAGTGGTCCTCAACCTTGCCTGCGCAGAGAAGCACTGGGGGAGCTTTTCAACCCTGCCAAAGCCAGACCCTGTGAACCTCTGGGGAAGGGCCAAGATTGGAATGCACTTCACGTGGTAGAAGGAAAAAGGCTAAGGATTAAAAATGACTCAAACAGGTACCTGAGATACTCGGGACTTGGGAGAAAAGAGAAAGGTGAAGGGAAGATAATGACATGAGAACAGGAAGAGCAAGAAGGACGTGAAGCCTCTGAATCCGTAAAAATCAAGGAGATAAAACTGTAATTGACATCTACCTGCCACGGCACTTACAGTTTGCAAAGCATTTCTACACACTTCATCCTAACAAGAACCCATCAAGATGGGGATTATTCCCGTTTCATAGATGAGGACACAGAGCCCAGAGAGATTGGAGACTTCACCAAGAACACAATGTAGTAAGCAGCATAGGGTGGGCCCGCAAGTTTCCCTAAGGGAGAACACAGCGGGAAGAGTTCAGCTGAAATGGGAAGGAAATAAACACATCAATTCAGAAGCCTCGGGAACACATACATAAACCTAAAGCATACGCATAAAGACTTACTGCCTTGATTCTAATTGGGAATGTACAGAACAGGGTCATGACTGATTTGAACTCTTGGACTATTAGATTACAGCCTTCGATCCCAACAAAATCCCATTTCCATCGCTTCTCTCTGCCGCTGACAGTCAGATGAGGGCGTGCGCACTGCCCACCTGGCTTTCCGCCTGCCCCAGGTGATCAACACGGCCTTCTGCCCCACGTGCTGGTGAGAAGGAAAACTCACAAGAGTAACCCTTTAAAAACAAAATGTGCACGCAAGCTGATGGCAAAATGAAATCCAATCCATTTATTTAAATGTATATTGTACATAACTTACAAAGGCTCACTTCTGCCACTCAGCTAGAACTTTTCCGGAAAAGTCTCCATTTCTTCTTTGATCCTGTTTTCTACAAGTAATGCGAAGTTACTGTCTGTGTTGTGAAGGTTATAGCTGACAAACACCTGTTTGTTGGTCTTCCTGGCTAAAAAGAGAAAACACATTGACACAGCCATGGCGGGAACGCTGCAGGTCCTGTCTTCCCCACAGCTGCCTGTGGCTGGGAAATGCCTGGAAGGAGGGAATGGGGCTGCCGGGAGAGAAGGCAGTTCCAATTTTCGACTCAAGACAGCTGCGGACCCCGGCCTCGTCTCCAGAACGGTGGTTCTTGTGTGGTCCCCACAGCTGTGGCGCCACCTGCCACCTGCTAGAGAGGCAGACCCTCCGGCCCCCGCAGACCTCCTGACTCAGGAAGTCGGGGTCTGGGCAGCAATCCGAGTTAACAAGCCCACCCGGTGACCCACACACTAAACGAACCGCTGCTCTACATAGAGGGTTTGTTTAGTGTTTCTATTTTTTTTAACTTTTAAAAACACACATAAAGTATTTAAAATAAAATATTAAAGTTCTCCTTCAGCGCCAGCGCTCTAGCACTTCCGCTTCCTACCCGAAGGCAACCCCGTATTTCTACGCATTTACATATATGACACACACGTACACATACACACATGTCGATGCTACGTACACACGTGTGATTTTCTGATACTGAACTCAGTTTTAGCCCCTTTCTACAGAATCGATAATAAATAGTTGAGGTGCGTTGGTCCAAGTGCGAGACTCAGGCAGCGTCACATGCCCGGAATCTGAAGGGCAGGGTGGTGTCTTGAGCACAGCGGGCAGAAATCCTGAAGCAGCTCACTGCTGACTGCACCAGTGCAGGCCCCGCCCCCACCTGACACACAGGACCACAACCCTCTCGACCGAAGTGCAGAAGGGCGGTGCGGGAAGGCTGGGCACACCAGGCCACGGGCACCGTCAGTAGAGGCTAGTTTAAAACACATGTCACTGGATTCCATCCAGGTGACAATTACATCCTGGTTGCCGCTGTCTTACCTACAGTCCCACCAGGAAATGTCGGCAGGCAGAGTGGCTCCAGGGAGTGGGCCAGGCCCTGCCATGGCCCGGAAACCTCTTTGGGCTTCATTTGTTAATAGAGGAAGGATAGATAGAATCTCAGAGACATGTTTTTCAGCTGTATGAATTAATCCTTTATTAAAAGGATTTGTTCTGTAAAATTTGGATTTGGTCAAAAGGCTGCATTCAAGGATCCAGAGGACCACATGTGGCCCTAAGGCCATAGGTTCCCCACCCCACACTGGGACTTGCCAAGACTGGCAGGGAAGAGACTATCAAGTCACACCCTGCCCTCTCTGAGGGGGAAGAAGGTCCCTTCTCGCCCAAGGGGACCCGCTACAATTCTAATCGCTCTAACTGCTAAGACAGGATTTCCAGGGAGCAAAGCTGTGTCTACCGCATCGGCTCCCACAGACCCAGCTCTGCCCTCAGAGCACACGCGGCCGGGTCCCCTTGTCCACACCGAAGCCTGCACTGCTCCCAGGCCTTCTCTTCTCTGACTTGCTTTCATCTTCTGCCTAAGACACTATTTCAGGACATCTCTCCCTTTTCACTATAACGCATTAATGAAGCACTTTCACCTGTAGGGCCCAGACCCAGGCCCAAGACAACTGGCACAGCACAGGACTTTACTGGACGCCTTCCTGATCCGAGCGCCGTGCGTCGCCAGTCCCTGCAGAGATGCCGGCAGCCGCCGCGCACTGACGTCTAGCCACTGAGAACCACTCCCCTTCTGCACGCAAACTGGTGCGAGGTCTCCACCTTACAGACGTTCTGCAGCCTACTGTCCCTTATTGGCTTAAAACCTAGTCATGAGCTGCCAGGCGAGCTCGCACCGTCCTTCTCTACCGGAGTGCGTCTCGGCAAGCCCGCCCCGCGTTCCGCCTCCATAGACATGAACCCTGCGCCTTCATCTGACCCGGCGCGAGCACACAGTAACCTGTCGGGTACAAGTGTGTTACCCCTCACACACTGACAATCACACAGTGCTGCGCTTACAAACAAAGGAGCACCGTGTCTTCAACTTACTTTCATGTGGTTCAAGAAAAAAAATGATACAAACACAAAGGGAAAGAAACTGGGAGATCTGGGTAAAGACTAAACAGGAATTCTTTGTATATTCTTTGCAACTTTTCTGTAAATTTAAAATTTCTTCCTATCAAAAAGTTACCAAAATAACTTACTAGTCAGGTATCTCTTAACTCCAGGGTAGAGAAAAAATATCCTGCAAGTCCCTAAAATGCTGACCTCTGTGCACAGACATGGGTGCGGTGAGTCTGGGGCGGCCTGCTGGTGACAATCCGCCCTGCCCTGCCTCCTGTGCTGGCTGGTGTCCTGTCCCTCCTCTGCCGTGTGCCTCAGTGTGCCTGAGACAGAGATTCCTGCTTGCTGGGGACCAGGAACATCCCCTGCCCAGGACCCAGAGGGGCTGTGACTGACTGCAGAACGGAGGCAGCTGGGACCGCTGGGGAACAGGAGGACTGAGCAGGAAGCAGGGCCGCCTTCCTGCTCGTGGTCTCGGGGCATCAAACACTGGCCATGGGCACTCGGGGCTGGGGAAGGCAGAACACGTGCCATCCTTACCTGCCCTCCTGCATTTACAGGAAGTGTGCGTTGGAGTGTGAGGGGGTGGAGCCTTCAACCTCATGGTCTTTGTTTAACCCCCAATCTACGCCACACTCACAGACCAGGCCAGTCTCCCTTGCAAGCCCTGAAGGGTGTCACACTGTGAGTGAAGGGCAGTCCCTCCCGCGCAGTGGTGACACTGCTCCACAGGCCGCACCGACTCCCTGGGAGGCTACCTTGAGCCGCAGCCCACGGGGTGCTACGGGCATCACTCACGCTCTCCTCCCATGAGGAGGTGACGCACTTACGGAGGGAACTAAATCAGCTCATTGACTCAAGGACACAGCCAAGGATTATGTGGGAGTCCCTTGGGATCACGCTGGCCCTGAGACAGTGCTGGTGACAGATGAGCACAGATGTGCCCCTGTAAAGACACAGTGTGCAAAGGTCTGTACTTGATATAAAGAGTCTTCGCTTCCAAAGCGACTTGCCTCGTGGATCCATCAAACAGTGGGGCTCCCTGGCTGGCCACAGGTACATACCTAGGCGCTGGGCAAGGCCAGTGGAGGTCGTGTCGGAAGTGTCTCCAAGGAGGGAGGTGGACACCGGGATGGAGTCCTGAAAGGAAAACAAAGAGGACACTGTGGCTTCTCCACCTGGAGTGGGCCGGCCACACTGACCTTCTGATTCCCCATAAGGGTGGCAGTGGCAGGTCCTGAGAGGGCAGACACAGGTGCTGAAGGGAAGAGGGGCTGGCATCTGCCAACAGGCAAGCAGGTGGACCCCCCCAATGCATATAAGGTCAGTACAGCTGGGACAGACAAAGAGAAGTCACCTGACGCTGGAACCACGGTTCTGTTAATCAGTTTTAAGACTGATTTCACATAAAGAGTTCATTTTGGTGTCGGAAACTCCAAAGCATGCTGAAGGGCAACAGAGAGCCAAGGGAAGCAAACAAGATCATTACGGCCACAGAAAAAGACAGCGAATCCCAGGGTCTGTGTGCCCCGGGCCCCGAGGCCACAGAAGCCGGAGCCAAGGCAGGACGCCTGGTCTCCTCATCTCCGCCTGTGCAAGAACACACAGCTCCAGTCCCTGCAGGGCCGTCGGGGTGCTCTAAGGTCAATCAGTGCCCTGTGACTTTGAGAAAGGGCACCAGTCACCAGCATCCAAATAGCGAAAACAACAATTTCTGAGTACACTTGGCCAGTCTCACTTCAGGTAAGAAGCCATGAAAGGAAACAAGCAGCATAAACGATGTTAAGATAAATAAATGGGTCACTTTTGAAATCTGGAAGTAATCTTACTCCCAATTACTTTGGAAGTGATCTCTCTCACCATTAAAAAGGCCTAGCTTAAAAGGAAAAAATCCACTAACTTGTAATATGGCCTAAATTGCTTTTATCAAAATAGCAGACTTCTAGGAGAAACAGCCTGGGTACGGGGGCCGGGAGTCTGAGGAAGTGACAAGGTTTACAGAGCGACCGAGGCTCGAGGGTTTGGTCCCCCACCCTGTCCTAGCGGAGACCAGTGAACAGAACACATGCCTGCTGTGTGCCAAACAGACCAAAGGGACTGCTCCTCATCTCCTAAGGGTTCAAAGCCACTTCCAGGCAAGACAGAATCTGTTCATGTCTATAAAAGATAGGAGATCAAAAAAACACAGGAGAAAGATGAAAGCATTAACTGCATGCTTTTTTGTTGAAAAAGATACAAAAATATGATCTTAATTCATGAACCTGCTGCTTACAGATTCCAAGTTCAACATTTAGCTGTATGGTCGTAATATTTACAGATAAACCTCCTGGAAAAAGAAAATGTACCTTACCAAGATTGCCCTTTTCCACCAAAAATAAAATTTTAAACCCCATCATATCATCCTTCTGAATAGTTCATTACTTCCCAAATCACACTAGACTCTGGTCTCCCAGCAGACACATGCCCAGATGGCTGCACTGCCCACACCAGGCCAAGGGTGTCCAAGCAGGCGGGAGCCCAGGTCCCAGGCCAGCTTCCCTCAAGATGGTGGCACTTGGCATCATCTAATCATCTAATCCTGCAGCCTCTCTGGGGACCGGAAATCCCTGCTCAACCCAAGGAGGCTGGCTAGAGGGGCAGCAGGGTTTTGTGGTTTCCGATCTCTACGGTCCTGTCACACATGTGCAGGTTTCGGAGACGGGGAGGGAAGAGTCCTCACAGACCCTTTGGTGCCGTTCTCCACACATGGGCTGGCAACCTTCCTGGGAAGAGCCAGACAGTAAATAGTTCAGGCTTTATGGGCCACAAGGTCTCTATTACAGCTGCTCAATCCTGCCACCAAAGTGCAAAAGCTGCCACAGACTCCGCCTGCATGGACGGGCATGCCTGTGTTCCAGTAAAACTTTATTACTAATACAAAAGTAGACGGAGGGCCAACACACAGGCCACAGGAACCTTCTGTTTCCTGCCTGAAGCTAAGGCCGCACGTCTTTTCCCAACTGACTCGGCCCCCTGCCTCTGGAGGGAACATCCAGGCACACGATATGGCCAGAGAGTGGGACTGGACCTCTGACAGATCAGGTAACAGAGACTGGCTCCTGTCCCTTTTCCTGCCTGATCTTGGTACAGTGTGACTTTCTAGTTGAGAAAATACACCCCACTGGGAGCTGTGACCACGATGTGGGCAGACCACCAAAGCAGTCCAGTGAGTAGCTTGCTTACTTACTAGCTTCCTAGCCCAGACCAGCTCCACACATGGGCCTGGAAGGAGTTCGAGGAAGCGACACCAAGTCTTCCTCGTGCACGGTCCTGACCCCAGGTGGCCCACAGCCCTGAGCACTGTCTATTACTAGATGAGGAAAGACAGAATGTGAGGTGGCTCCAGAGCAACGGCCCCGCCCATCACCATGGTCCCCCAGGCCGCCTCCTTCCTCCAACGAAAGGCCTGGAATTGCCATCTGCCCCCAGGCTGGGACCCTCCAGAAAAGCAAAAAAAAGAAAACGCCCTGGAAAAGAAGAGAAGGGAACGCAGAAGCTGTCTCCTTCCCTAGGCATTTCCAGGTGCTGTCGTGCACAACTAGGACTCACCGCATGACCTCCCACCGTCCCCAGTGCCCTCAGTCCCCACTGCCCGACTAGCTTCGGAGTAGCCCTCGGTGAAAGGGCCTCACTCGTTCATTCAACAAGGACTTAACGAGCGGCTTGTCAGGGTCATCGAACAGACAAACCTCACAGTAGAACCCACGGAACACTCGACTGCACAGAGTGGGAGTGCTCAAGCCGCCAGGAGGCCAGCGCTGCTGTCAGAAAGAAGCGAGGAGCGCGGAGGGGCAACAGGGCCTGGGAGGTCACTGCAGAGTCTCAGGATTGTGCTCTGAGTTCACCTCGTGAAAGGTTTTGAGCAGAGAACGAAAATATCTGACTTCATTCTTAAAACTATCACTCTGCTGCCCTGGTTATAAGAAAGTGTTGTGGGTTGAATTATGTCCCCAAAAAAGATATGTTGAAGTCCTAACCCCTGGGTACCTGTGAACATGACCTTATTTGGAAATAGGGTCTTCGCAGATGTAATCAAGATGTGAGATAAGGTCATACTGAAGTAGGGTGGGCCCTTAATCTAATACAACTGACATCCTTTAAGAAGAGAAGAGGCTGGTGCAAGTGGCATTTACAACTGATAGATCACAGCCAGCCACAGAGTTCTCTGTTCCTTCTCCACTCCCACTGCTCCACTTGACTAGCCTAAAATAAATAAATAAAATTTAAAAAAAAGAGATAAGAGAGGAAACACAGACACACAGGGGGAAGATGGCCACATGATGTCACAGGCAGAGACTGGAGAGATGCATCTACACGCCCAGGCCCACCAAGGACTGCCAGCAACCATAAGAAGCCAAGAGAGGCACAAGACGGTTTCTCCATCAGGGCCTCCAGAAGGAACCAAGCCAGCCAACACCTTGATTTCAGACTGCAGGCCTACAGAACTGTGAGAGAATACATCTCTGTTGTTTTGAGCCACCCAGTTTGTAGCGCTTTGTTACAGCAGCCCTAGGAAACTAACCCAGGATGCAAAAGGGGAAGCACGTAGAGGAGAGATAGAAGGTTGCAGGCTTGGCCCAGGGTGGCAGGGTGAAGGGGGTGAGGAGTCTGGACCCCTGCATGCTTCAAGACAGCAGCGCCTACAGGTTCGCGACATGAGGCACGTGGAGCCTGAGAGAAAGAGGAACTGAAGATGACTTCAAGGCTCTGACCCTGAGCGCCCAGGAGAACGGACGTACGTTACAGAGACGGGCCGGCTGTGGGGGGCTGTTCGGGGGAGAGATCAGGAGTCTGTTCCTGAATGTGCCTAGTGAGAGATGCCTAGCAGACATCTACGCGGAGACGCAAAAGTCCCAAGTTCTGGGAAAACCTGTCTGTACTGAAGATGCAGATAAACGTCGGTGTGGTCAAAACAGAGGTGGCACGAAAGCTAAGAGGCCGATGGCGCCCCAGCACGCGAGCGTGACCAGAGGGGGCGCCCCAGGACACTCCAGGCTACAGAGACCCGGAGGAGGAGGCAGCCGAGGGACGGCGGACCGGGAGAGGGGCTCCGGTGGGCCACGCACCTGCCCGGCCGCACGCAGCTCCCTGGAGCGGACACGGACCCGCAGGCTCCCTGCGACAGCACAGGAAGAGCTCGGGAGAGTCCGGGTGAGACAGCGGGGGACCCCAACGCCCCGAGGCCCCTGCGGTAGCCCGCCGCCCGGCCCCCAGCCCCCGCCGCCCCCGCGCCGGGCCGGCCGGCACTCACGTAGCGGCTGCACATGGCCACGGCGAGGTTGCGCAGGTGCGGCGTGGCGCCCACCCACAGGAAGAGCGAGTCCGTCAGCCGCATGACGTGGAAGTGGACGAGCTGCTCCCACAGCCTGGCGCTGAAATTGTGCAGGGAGACGTCCCCGGCCGCGGAGGCCAGCGGCCCCTCCATGCCGCCCGGCCAGCACCGGCCGCAGCGTCCGGCCGCCCCGCTGCCGCCGCCGCCGCCGAGGCCCAGACCAGGCGAGCGCGCGCCGAGAAGCGGAGCGCGCCTTCGCTTTCGGTTCCGGAGGGGCGAGACGGGGCGGGGCCGGCCCGGGGGGCGGGGCAAAGCCTGCGGGGCGGGGCCAGAGGCCGAGGTGGGCCTTCGCTTTCGGTTCCGGAGGGGCGGGGCGGGGCGGGACGGAGCCGGCCTGGGGGCGGGGCGAAGCCGGCGGGGCGGAGCCGGAGGGCGGGGTGGGCCTTCGCTTCCGGTTCCGGAGGGGCGGGGCGGGGCCGGCCCAGAGGGCGGGGCGAAGCCGGAGGGGCGGGGCGGGCCTTCGCTTTCGGTTCCGGCAGCTCTGCGTCGTGTGGGCGGGGCCTGGCCTCGCCGTCCCGCCGCCTCTCCCAGCACTCCTGCACCGCTTTGGACGCGCCGGGAAAACCCGCCCTACTCGTGGAGTGAGACGGTGACCCCTGGGAGCCCACGCGCGCTCGGAGCTCGCCCTCCCTTTGTTCCCAATTATTGACAAGCAGCACTGACGGGCTGAAGCTAACCGCGGCGTCCTCCCACGCCTTGACGCGTCGCCCTACAAAGACTTGCACTTTTAATTAGATCCTTAAGCACCCTGAGAGCAGCCACCTCCCGTCATCCTCCTGGCAGCCTTTTAACTCCAGGCAGGCCTCGAACGTAGCTAGCCTTAATTAATTATGGCAACGATATTGGGAGAAAGCCTTTAAAGGGAAAACTACGTGGACTGAGTTGGGGGGCGGAGGGGCTGGGACTCAGACCCCCACCCGGCCGCAGCCCCATCCAAGCACGGCCTCGGGCTAACCCCTTGCCCTCTCTGACACCCAGTTTCTTCAGGCAAAGTGGAAATAAGAATAGGTACCTTTCGGAGACGTGGAAAGGATTACGAGACATTACATGGGAAGCAGCAAGAATCGTCCCATTATCATCCTTCCTCAGGGACCCTTTAATTTTAATCACTTCGAGACACTACGGATTTGAAATGAGGAGGACCTCAATGGGTTAAGGGAGAATGTGGTAAAAACAGGTTCTATTACATTACAGCTGACTTCAGGGGTTTAAGTCAGAACCATAAGAGACCTGCTTTTTAAATCTCTAATAGATCTAAGTTGACTAAATTGAAATTTAAGAGGGTATTTTTTCATAGTTTTGTTCTATTTGCTAATTATCGATGATGCAATAATATAGTTAATTTTCAGGTCAATATTTTAACAGCTTTATTAAAGTATGATTAATAGCTACACATATTTAAAATGTGCAAATTGAAGTTTTCACACATATAGAATCTGTGACACCATTGTTGCAATCAAGATAGTGAACACGTCCAATGCTCCCTCATGCCCCTTTGTAATGTTAATGGAAAAACCAAACTCTGTAAAATATTTTAAAGAGGCTTACTCTTAGCCAATATGGGTGACTATAGCCCAGGCAAAACACAAACCCAAGAGGCCTTGAGTAAGTGGTCCCCAGGCGGTCAAATTACAGTTTGGTTTTACACATTCAGGGAGGCAGGAGTTATAAGCAAAGACATAAATCAATTCATGGAAAGTATACATTGGTTTGGCCCAAAAAGGGTGTGTCTTGAAGCAGGGACTTACAGATCATAAGTAAGAGATTCCTTAATTCATAGTTGGTTAGAAGAACAAAATTTTGTCTAAAAATTTGAAGTTAGCAGAAAGGAATATTTTAGATAAGGACAACTGCTAATCATAGAACAAGCCCCAATATACAGGGTCAAAGTGACCTGTTAAGCAAATCAATGGCCTGCAGGTGTGACTTAACCCTTGCTTGGCATGGCCTTAGGTCCTGTTTATAATTTAGTATCCTATTCCCACAAAGAATCTGTTTTGTCAGTCTTATAATCTGTATTTTAACATTAATACTGGTCAGTTGTTGTATCTAAACTCCAAAAGGGAGAGGGTATAATGAGGCATGTCCAACCTCCTGTCCAGTCACGGCCAGGAACTCAGTTTTTAGGTTTCTCTGGGGTCCCCTTGGGCAGAAGGGGGTCCATTCAGTCAGCTGCGGGGCTTGAGATATTCATTTTCATTTACAGTCATCACTCCTGGCTGCCTCCACCACCACTAATTTGTTTTCTGTCACACCAGATTAGTTTGCATTTTCTAGTTTTATGTAAGTAGAATCACACAGTCTGCACTATTTTTCGTCTGGCCTCTTTTATTCACCATAGTTATTGTGGGACTCCTCCATGCTGTGTGTATCAGTAGTTCATGTCTTCGTGTTGTAAGCGGCGCTCCACCACATGGCGATGCCACTGCCCGTTCATCCCGGCACGGGTTGGTGCTCATTCGGGCTATTTCCAGTTTGGGGGATATTACAATTTCCAAAAGAAAAAAATCACAGCAAATTTAGTTTAAAGATCTCAACTGGCTTTATTTGCAGTTCTAGAATCAGGCAACACTTCTTTCCATAAAATACAGTAAGTGTCGCAGTGAGCCGAGCAGAGGAGGTGGGCTTACGGACAGAGATGGGTCGAAGAGAGCTCAGGTAAGAACAAAGAACGTATTAGTCGTTTTAAAGATACTTTTCTTGTAAGGTGGGTACAGGGAGACAGAACATAACTGATTAATTGACATCAGGTTAATTGACATCAGGGTTAAAACAGAGGGAATGTCATTATCAAGCATTGAAGACTGAAACTGGCCTGTTTGGGAAATTGACTGTTATCTCTCTTCTGATTTGTTGGTAGATGAGATGACAACTTAGTTTGGGTTTGGTGACAGGGAACTTTAACATGGTGCTTCCGTTTGATTTTAGTCTGGTCTGTTGGTGCCTAGTGCAGAAGCTTAGTCCAAAACAATGGCCCCCTATAATTTTTATTTAACACAATAAAGTTGCTGTGAACATGTGTACAAGTAAGTCTGGGTATGGACATATGCTTTCATTTCTTGTAGATAAATACCTAGCATTGACTGTATCATATGGTAGTTGTATGTTTAACTTTTTAAGAACCTGACAAACTATTTTCCATAGTGATTGTACCATCGTACATTCCCAGGAGAAGTGTATGGGAGTTCCGGGTCCGTCACGTCCTTGTCAAACAGCAAGTACCATATCAACTACTTGGTATGGTCAGTTGTTTTCATTTTAACCATTCTAAGAGGTATACAGTGGTATCTCATTGTTGTTTTAATTTACATTTTCTTAATGACTAATGAAGAACCTGTGATATTGTGAAATATATACAGTATTTGGTCTTCATCCCATCTCCAGGCATACAACTCCTAAAATTCTTGGATTCTTCAAAGTAATAAGAGTGTCTTTTGTATGATAATGAGTTGACTGGTGGCTGGCAGCACCTAGGTAGCTCCAGGGTGAAGGCTGGTCACCAGAAAGACCAAGGCAAGATTAGAGGTTGGACTTGCAGCCCCATTCCCCAACCTCCGGTGATTACCAGTGGCCAGTGGTTTAACCAGCCATGCCTCTGCAATGAAGCCTCCATAAAAACCGAAAGGCCAGGGTTGGGGAGCTTCCAGATAGCTGAACACGCGGAGGTTTCTGGAAGGTGGCCCACCTGAGAAAGACATGGACGCTCTGTGCCCCTTCTCCCATATCCCACCCCACACATCTCTTCATCTGTGTGCCTTGTAATATCCTTTGTAAACAGTTGTGTCCTGAGTTCTGTGAGCCACTTTAGCAAACTAATTGAAGCCAAAGAGGGGTTGTGGGAACCCCAATTTAGAGCTGGTCAGTCAGAAGCAGTGACAAAATAACTTGGCTTGCAACCAGCATGGGAGTGGGGGCAATCTTGTGGGGCTGAGCCCTCAACCTGTTGTGAGAACATACTAGGAGAAACTGGGTTTGTTTTTTCTGCTCAGAACTTCACTTCATTTCACACTGTGCAAGTCTTTCCTTGAAGGAGACCTTGGCAGTGATGCAGCGGCGTCCCAGGGAGGGGAGGGAAGCCCCCTGAACTCGCCAGGTGGGTTCTTGGCTTCACGAGGGAATGAATTCAAGAGCAAGCCAACTAGTTTTACTGAGACAGAGACAGACAACAGATCCTACTCTACAGACAGAGTAGGGGTCCTTGCAGGGGAATGGTAACATTTTTAAATGTTCAAAAACCCATACTTACCAGCATTGTATTGAAATCAGGCCATAAAGGTTAATCATAAACTGCCATCACAAAAAGGTAAACACAGACAGTCTGTAAGGCGTCTTCGGTGGTCCCCGCTATGACTTGCTGGCGACTTCCTTGTTCAGAGTGGTTAGGGTCCAGTGTCCGTCAATAGGGCTGCACTTAGGCTCTCTGGACCTTGCTTTTCTGCCTTACCCCCAAATTAGCCGCACATCTGAGCATCTTTGGAGATGCCATCCCAGTTAACGGGGGAGATTCCTGAGGACGTGGGGAGGATGGGCCGGGGCGCAGATGGACAGAGGAGGGCAGCCCTCCGTGTAGCGGGGCATGTAGGAGGTGAGAACAGGGTCCAGTGAAGATAAGGGTTTGAGGAAAGGGAGGAGGAGTTGTGGGAATCAAGCCTGATCACCTGTTTTCTTTGTAAAACCAGAAGCAGGGTTATCTGCTGAACTTGGGCTTGGGTAGGGTCAGGGCTCGGGGCTGCACGGAAGTGTTTCAGGGGTCCCTCATAACATCACCTGAGTCAGCCAAAGAGGTGGGGGAGGGGCCCAGGCCACAGGACCCACTGGCCACATCACCTACTGCGCACCGCCCACCGGCTGCTGCCCACTTGAGGGTATGACTGAAGTACCAGCTCGGAGATGATACGGATGAGGATGGAGCCACCCCAGGCGCCTGTGCGCACTGCGAATGGAAGCGTCTTCTATAGTGCTGGTCCACAGCGGGAAGACTAGTTGAGGCAGGGAAACAGGGAGTGGAAGCAGGAACAGCCCCACTCAACACTGCTCCCGGTGGCCCATCTCGGGACTTACGCCGCCCCAACCTGCACCGTGGACTGAAGGATCAGAGGTCCCATTTCCCAGGGGACACAGCACGGGTCCCCCTGAGCAATAAACTGTAGCTGCCACTGGGCTCCTTGTGTCC